CACCCAGGGCAGGTGCTCCATGAACGGGCGGGTCTTCAGCAGCCCGGCCGGATTCTCTATGACCCACATCAATGGGTCAAAGTGCGCAATGATCTCAAGGGCGCTGAGCACCAGCGCGTCTTCCTCCAGGAGCCGCCGCGGGCGCGTCGTCAGCTCGCTTTCACAATCCTAAGTCTGCAGGGCCATTGCTGAGCTCACAGCGGGCAGGGCCTCCTGAGCTCGCCCTACACCATGTCTGGAGCCAGTTCATCTAATGATCTGCTGGTTACTGGCCATCACCGGTCGTATGTGTCCCAAAGCGCACTGGCCGAGATAATCAAGCAAATCCGAGAACACGGCTTGCCTGACGCAGGTAGCCGCAGTTCCATCAAGCGTGCCAGGGAACGGGCACTGCCGCAGCAGACACCAATTGGGGCAATGTGGGTGTCTGCCAATGTGGAAATGAATAACGGAGCCCAGAAAGCATTTCCAATGGTGAACCCATTGCCTTTGCTGCACCAGTTGCTGACAGAATGCAAAGGGTTTGCAGCTGCTTTCCACGCCAAACTGCAGATGCCAGCAAGAGTCCTTGGGAGGTGGCTATATACTCAGATGAAGTGCTTCCGGGGAATCCTCTAAAGGATAACAAAAAGAAGATTCAGGCCATTTATTGGTCGTTCCTTCAGTTGGAAGAAGGCCTCTCAGACGAGAACCTCTGGATGCCCCTCCTGCTGCACCTCCGTCGCAGCCGTTCAGCCGCCCGTCGTCCGCCGGACGGGCGGCTTCCTAAAGAAAAGGATGACGACGATCTACGTGGACAGCCGCAAGAAGGTGGCCGGCTCGGACAGCGACTTTGAGGTCGACCTGGGGGAGTCCCTGCACCTGCAGAGCGACGCCCGGCTCGCCGTCTACAAGATCCGCCTGGCCGACAGCTTTTTGTCCACGGACCGGGGCCGCTACCTCTACTGGGTTGTTGCCCGAGGGCGCGTACACTGGCGCACGGTTGGCCGCCTGGATCAGCTCCAACTTTGCCACCGCCACCTATAGCGAGACCACGAACAGTCTGAGCGTTGCCTATGACGGCAACCGGCTCATTCTGAACGACCTGGAGCTGCGCCAGCAATTTCCTGATGCCGCGGACTACCCTGCTGCGCCGCCCGCCTCTCCCACCAAGCCCTTCAGCGTGGACCACATGCTGGGCCTGAGCTTTGTCTCCGGCGGGCAGCAGGTCTTTGAGTTCGTCCGGATGATGGCGCACAACGAGGTCTACCTGCGCCCAGCTGGCCAACGCCAGCAGAGTGCTGGGCAACCTGGGCGACGACATCCTCTCCAAGATCACGCTGAAGAGCGGAGTGGGCACCATTGTGGAGACGGGCTCAGACGACGGGCACTTCTTGGCCCTCAGGGGCCCGGTTACCCTGAGGCACATGCGCTTCCGCCTGACCGACCTGGACGGCAACGTCGTCCGGCTTCGCGGGTCGTCTTTGTCCTTCGTGTTATATCTTGACCACGTATAATTAAAAAGGATGGAGCCGACCGAACACGAGGCGGAGGCGCAAGAGGCGCAAGAGGCGCAAGAGGTGCACGCTGCGCCGGAGGCACCACACGCTGCGCCACACGCTACGCCGCACGCTGCGCCACACGCTGCGCCGGCACCGGAGCCGAAACGGCGGGGCAGGCCCCCTGGGAGCAAGAACAAACCGAAGCAGGACGTGCCTACTGAGCCGGCTGCTCCAAAGCGCAAGCCAAAGCCGCCTCCAATTGAGACGGCACCAGCAGAGGCGCCGGCTGAGGCACCGGCGGAGGCACCGGCTGAGGCACCACCGGAGGCGCCTCAGCTCACAAGAGAGCAGCAGCGCGCCCTGCGCATGCTGGAGAGGCAGTCCGCTTATGACCGGCTGACCACAGGCGCAAGCGTACTGGTATAAAAGCATGATGTCCATTGAGCCCCGCAACGAGCCGCGGATGCTCCGGTGGTTCCGCAGGACGTACCCCAGTTACAACTTGCAGCCGCTGCTGCTGAAGCGCTACCGAGAACTTGAGGAGGCGCGGGCCTTCAACAATTGGCTTGGGGAACGCAGGCAGGCGCAGGAGGGGCAGCGGCACCTGGACGACGTGAGCCGGCTGACGGAGGCCGTGCACCGCCAGGTGCCCCAGTTGCGCTACGCGCGCGCCGAGCGCCGGGGCGTGGAACGGGCGGCGGGCGAAGTTGCGCAACAGTAAATGAAGACGGTTCGGGCGCACGGCTTCAACCAGCGCCCGCGCTTTGAGCAGGTGGTGGGCTACCTTGAGCGGAATGAGCCGCTGCCCCTGGACCAGCCGGACCGCAAGGCCACCTCGTTCGTCACAAGCCACTTCTACTTGGACGATTTTGTACAGTCCAGTGAGGACCCCAACCCCCGGCCCCTGCAGCACACGCCCCTGCAGGCAATTCCCGAGGACGGCTTCCGCACTCCCGCAGAGGCCACGGACGAGGATGTGCGCCTTGCGCGGAGGTACCAGGGCTATGGCGGAACCCGCTTTGTTGAGGCCGACCTGGCGGGAGACCCCGAGGCCGGCGCGCTGGCCAGCAACGGGCAGGGGCCGCCCTCCATCACGGACCGTCTGCGCAGCACTGCAGACGGTGCTCAGGCGGCAGCGGACCTCATAGGCGCAGGGGCCGCGGGGCTCGCAGCCGCGCAGGCCTTCCGCTCTCAGCTGTTCCAGGACGCGGCCGAGTACGTGCGCCTGAACGTGCTGCCCCGTCCGGGCAGCCGCCTCCGCAGATCATAGGCCGGCCCAGTGACGTGGAGCGCCTCCTGGACGAGGCGGGGCAGCGCGCGCAGGAGGTGGAGCGTGGCGCAGCGCAGGCCGTTGAGGAGACGGCGGCCGTGGCTGCGGAGGAGGGTGAGGTTGCCGTTGCCGCCGAGGCGTGGGCGGAGCCTTTGGGTACCTGGGGGGCCTGGCGGAAGGGGCAGCAGCCCTGGCGCCCACCGCGGGCGAGGTTGCTGGAACGCTGGCTGGCGCGGCGGGAGTTGGCGCGGCGGCAACGGCGGGGCTGGCCGTGGGCATCGCAGGCGGCGCAGCCTACGGCCGCGCGCGCGGCACGGGCTGGGTGCTGGAGAACACGCTCTTCCGGCCCCAGCAGGGCAGCGAGGACGCGGCCGTGCAGGACGTCCGGTCCGCCAACAACATGAACGACGCCACTCAGCCTCAGCACT